CCAAGCCCGGCGGTTCCCAAAGGGGAAGCGGGACGTGGAGACCCCCCGCGCCCCGTTAGGGTCGCGGAGAGTGCCGGGGTGGCCTCAGATCACGAGACGGGTTCCCGCCTTTGCCCGGGCCTCAGTTTCCCCCGCAGCCCAGTGACGTGTAGGCCCCCCACCAGTGCATCCGGCGCTCCGGGTTCTGAAAGGCTTTGTGCAGCAAAGTGCATTTACGTGATTGCATTACCCCGTGAGCTGCTACGGTTCATTCAAACCAGGAAGTTGTTAAGGGCAACATCCTGCAATAATAATAATAATAAATAATAATAAATAACGTGGGTTTCTAAGGCTTGTGAAGAGTATAAAATATAAAGTAGCGGGGAAACCCCCTTGCTCTCGACGTGGAGCCTGGAGGCTGAGAACCCTGGGTTGGTACCAAGGGGCTAGACCTGAGCTCGTGGCACCCACCTGCCTGGACTGCCCGTCACCCACCGGTGCCGGCTGACCGCTCTGTTTGCATGGGGTCTAGGCAACAGGTGCCGCGCATCAGCACCGTGCGGCTGATGCGATGCAGCAGCCATCGGAGGGGAGAGGCCCTCGCCGGTGCACCCCTAGATAACGCCCCCAAGGAGTACCCCCCCAAGATCCAGCAGCTGGTCCAGGACATTGCCAGCCTCACGCTCCTGGAGATCTCGGACCTCAATGAGCTCCTGAAGGTATCGCCGGCCGGGCCTGGGCAGTGGGGTCCGGGGCTTGTGTCCTGCTCCTGGTGTATTTGGGGGGGAGGGACTGGTCAGTTGTGGAAAGTGTGCTCCCCGGGTGCAGGGATGTGCCGGGCTCGTCCCTGCACGTGTGTGGGTGTGACCGCCAGCTTCTGAGACTGTCTCCTCTGTCCCTGCAGAAAACGCTCAAGATCCAGGAGGTGGGGCTCATGCCCATGGGGGGCGCGATGCCCGCTGCTGCCCCTGCCGCCGCAGCCCCCGAGGTGAGCCAGGCGCTGGCCTCCGCAGAGACCCGTTTCTCTGGTGCCCAGGTCCCAGCTTCCCTCGCGTCCTGAATTCTCTCTTTGCCCCTCATCTCTGTCCCGCGCCAGTCAACACCCCCCGCACATCTGTGTGCTTCCAGCTGAGGCTCTGGTCAGCCTCCCTGGGGCCGAGGACGGGCAGGGCCCTGCCCACTGGGGACCTGTGTCCAGTGGGGACTGTCTTTCCAGGGGAGGGAAACAATGAGCCGATGGAAGGGAAAGGACAGGAAGAGGTTGTGTGGAATAGCAGGACTTGCTAAGTTCTGCGGGAGGGGGCGGGGGGGGGGGGGAGAAGGGGAGGGTGACAGGTCAAAGGAGAGGAGACTGGGGAGTTGAGGGAGACGGCAAGGCATTCCCGGGCACGCGGGCCATGAGCGTGTCCAGGGCTGGAGAGCAGCGGGGAGGTGGGGGCAGCTCCACGGGCTTGGGGGTCTGCGAGGAAACCAGCAGACTTGAAGCCGCACACTAATTTGCGGGGTTTTGTTGTTGCTTTTGTGTACGTGTGTGTGGTTTTCAACATTTGTTATTTTTTAAAATCTCCAGTTACCCACAAGTAGAAATAATCACGCCCTCACCAGCCTTAGAAATAACTGAGGTTTTGCCACATGTGTGTCTCCTTCCCTGAAGCTGAAGGCAGGTTTCCGGCCTGTCCTCTCTCCGGGGGCCCTGCACACCCCTCTCTGACAGCACAGTAGCCTGGCGCCGTTTGCACAGCAGAGGGCATTGGCCTTGACTCCGACCCCAACTCTTCCCACCTCAGGAGCTCCGCCACCCCCGCCGGCCGCCTGGCGAAGGCGGGGGCTGCGCTGGTGTCACTGGTGCTGGGACACGGCTCTGGCTTGGCCGGGGCTGTCATTTCACCCACAAAGCACTTCTGGGGTTGCTCTTCCCTGTCTCACAAGTTACAGTTTTAAAAGGATGAGTTTTGGGGGCCGGGAGGGAGGCAGTCATCACAGCCTCTGGAGAGCTGGGAAGGGTTCTGGGCGGTGGAACCCAGTCTGACCGAGGAGTGGACGAGGTGGGGGAGGCGCCGAGTGGGAGGGGCGGCTCGGCCGGGCGTCTCTCCTGCCAGAATCGCGGGGACCCGCAGCCCAGGAGCAAAGGTGCCCGCTCCCCTCGTCCTCCCTCACCCAGCCCCCTCCCTCCCCAGGCGGTGGAGGAAGAAGACATCCCCAAGCAAAAGGAGCAGACACACTTCACCGTCCGCCTGACCGAGGCGAAGCCGGTGGACAAAGTGAAGCTGATCAAGGAGATCAAGAACTATGTCCAGGGCATCAACCTTGTGCAGGTGAGTGTGGCCACCCCTGCGGGCAGCCTGGGTGCAGGAGCCCGGGCGGCGTCTGACTTGGCTCTCGGCAGGCGAAGAAGCTGGTGGAGTCGCTGCCCCAGGAAATCAAAGCCAATGTCGCCAAGGCCGAGGCGGAGAAGATCAAGGCGGCGCTGGAGGCGGTGGGCGGCACCGTGGTCCTGGAGTAGGCTCCCCGAGAACTGTGGACAGGGGTCCCTGGGACCCGGAGAGGCCAGGCCGCCCCGCCCAGCACCCAGGCTC